AAAAAAAAAAAAAGATCAACAGGACACAAATAAGAAAAGCAAAGAAATGGAAATTTCTATCCCTACAAAAAGTTCTACCAGGCAGCATGCTGTAATGTAAGCAAATCTTTTTTTCCCCTCAAATTATGAACTCCTTCCCATAGAATTGCAAACATTTCCTCCTATACTTAAAATACATTTTATATACTTACCAATCAATATGTTGACCATAATTACTTTTTAAAAGATGGCTATACCTACCAGCACAGAGTTTACTAGTGCTTTAATACAATACTTTCTCTTTACACTAACTTTGTCAGGTACACAGATGCACAATCCCTTTTCTGAAAGGGGTACTCCAGAATTCAGAAGCACTCAAATGGCAGAAACCTGACTGTCTCTAATGTGACTGTCTCATATGCTCCATATCACCCTCAGAACATCTAGGAAAGCAGCCTGACATTCAACTGATATTATACTTGCAGGAAAGGTTTTATGAACAATTACATGAAGACGATATAAGAACTGCATGCACATTAATATGGACCCACTTTTGCCATCAAATTAGTTATGAACAGAAATTCTCTCTCTCCAGTGTATAAACAGCAACATAACTGCAAATAAGGAAGAAGGGACCTCAGAATTTTTACCTATTTTTTCCCCCATATCAAGATCCATGGAAGGATTTCCATCACACAATTACTGCAATGTTTTTTGTTTTTTGTTTTTTGTTTTTTTTTTTTTTTGGTTCCTCGAATGCCTTCAGGGCACTTTTGGCCAGCGGGAGAGTTGTGAGGTTCAAACTCCAGCAACCTGAGGCTGACAGCTTTGCGGAAGCAGCCACTTAAAGGACAGAGCTAGAGCCAGGCCCCCCCAATTACTGCAATGACCAGTGCCCTAAATTTCAATAACTCATTTCTAAAAGTAAGGAAGACATTTCTCTCTGGTAGTTATACCATTATTCTAAAATAAAAGGCCTAGTTTGGTTTTTTTTACAAGAGAATCACTAGTGATAAATACGAAGTCATAATTTTATCTTGCCATATTTGTAAAATACCTTTTAAACACATGTTTAATTGGAATTAGAAGCTTAAACATTCCCTACTTCTGAAAGAAAAAAAGTACAACCAAATTTTATGACAATAATTTCACGTTCTCAATGTGGTTTTACAAGTTTTCACCTAACTGGCATGAGAGCAAATGCCTGCAATTCCAGCACTCAAAAGGCTGAGGAAGGAGGATCACTTTGAGTTCAAGGCCTGGGTCCCTGAGCTACAAAGTGAGTTCAAAGCCAGCCTGAACTGCATAGCCACCCAATCTCCAAAGAAAAAATAGCACAACAGTTTTCACTTTCAGGAATGATTGTGATCAAGTTTACATTGTAATGTGAGAATCTTCATAATTATTATTAACTAGCATATATCTTAAAATATCCCCAAAAAAATGCATTTCACAATAAAATCTGTCTGAACACATAATTTAGTGTAATTTGAGTATCAGGAGTTAAAGTACTATTTAATGATAAAATATAAAAACATTTAAATATTCTCTAAAAACATGGTAATACTTATGCCCCACGTTATGAAATATCACAAATATAAAAATAAGGAATATATAACTACATAATCTTGATTAAAAGCTATTCTATCTCTTGGCTACTGATATGCCCTTGCCAAGTTATGATATGAAAATAACTTAATTTAATGTTTCTTATTTTTAAAAAAAGGTATTATCCCCATCCAAATACTAACCAAGGGTTAATTCAGGGTGTTATGGCCACAGACAAGATCTCACTACTAATAAGGAAGCAATTAACCGAACAATTATCTAGCTTTCATACAACTATTTCATTATAGTATATTACACATAAAACAGGTCAAGTTTATAAACTAAATTTTATCAAACTAAAGATGTTATTGACTGAAAGGTAGTTTACACCTTAAGTGTTAGGAGTATCAATTTGGGCATCAGACTACTTGACTGTAATCTAAGGTTGCCACTGATACAAGGTAATATTTAGTAAGTTACTCAATCTTTGTGCCTCAATTCCATCATATTTTCAACCTTGAAGATGAAATTACCATTTTGAAGAATTCTTAAGTATAAAAAATGCTTTTGGGAGTTTTTTAATGTGGTTACAGAATGACTAAGCTATTAAGCTGTTAAACCTGACATCATCAGCAGGTCTAAAAACCTGACCAAGCAAAAAATGAAAAGGCAAGAAATGGATAAATGGGTAAAATAAGGGGGACAGGAAACATTAAAATGCTTAAATTTGTTAAAAATACCTGCAGTGTAGACTAAAAAGATTTTAATTTACATCCTACTTAAGTCCAGCAGCTTAAAAATCTTCTGGACCCTTCCAACTAATACTATCCAAAGAGCCACAACAAAAACCATACAGCAAATATGTTCACTATGTGTTACAGGTGATAAGGTAAGGGGTAGCTGATGTCATTCCAACCTACTAGAAAACATATGACTACTAATCAATTTTAAACCTAGATTCATCTACTAAAGAGTGTTTTACCTGTGGTATGTATTATTCATATTAAAATATGGCAAACTCTATAAAGGCCCTAATAGGACAGACTGGCTGCCAGTTCCTTATTATATAGCAAATCATGTCCATCTCGATTGTGACTGCCAACTGGTAACTTTCAAGTGAAACCAATTCCTGCAAATGACACTATTTTTACTCATGTAGACAGCAGGGAACTCATTAATAGTGAATGCATGGGAAGAGAGCACAGCAGAGAGCTGGGAAATACCAATACACATAGGCTTACAAGAAGTGAACAGCAGCAGTAAAGACTCACAAAATGAAATTCCTACAGCACAAAATAAATTTGGCAGCTTCGATCTATACTTTCCCACTTGAAGAAAGCACATAAGCAACAATCAAATGTGTGATTCTATTTTCAGAGTGGAAAAATCTAAAAACCTTATCCCAACAGAAACAATGGCAAATTAAAAAGGATTTCCCTAATTTGGGCCCTATTTCCTTTTGTGTGAAGAAATTCATAAGGGGCACAAAATAACTTCAGACTCTAAATGATGAACGCTAACTATTAGGAGTGGCCTATGAGGTCTAAAATGGAAGGAAAATGTACATTTATTCCAGAGTTGTAGCCAACAATAACTTTTACATTCTGGACCCAGTTTAGGTACATTAGTTGGGAAGATGTTTGCAAAAGTTTTTAATAGGAAAGTGCTGAATTTACCTTTATTTCTTCAGTATTTTTTTCTTTTTTGAACATTAATTTACTTCTTAAAATTTTTATTAGTACATATTTGAAATACAAAAGTTTCCATTCCTTGTGTGGAATTGGTACAAGTATATAACGTATTTTCATCCCCTCTCCGTCCTCCATCTTGTGAACCCTATTTCTTCATTTTTATAAATGGCTTGAGGTTCTTCAAATGCTTTAAGAATCTCTAACTATAAGTGACAAAAGAAAATACCAGTTTTCTTCTTAGAGAAAACTATTTTTATGATCAGAAGTCAAAGATCCAATCTCTGAATGAAGGTATTTTTTAAATCTTTTAAATTTTCCCCAACATTCTGAAATGCAATGATTTCAAATACTATCAAAACAACAAACTACTTTAGGTTCACAGAATGAAGACATTTAAGAAAAGCTAAAAACTTCTCTGAGACTATTTCAACAATCTAAAAATATAATGTCTCAAAATTTCTAAATTTAAAACAGTGATAAACCATCCATGACAGATTCAGGCAAATAACAATTATAACAAATATATTTATACCATTACTCATTCTGCCTTTTATAAGAATGAGCTGGTATTCATTTGTCAAGCACAGTACACCACTATGACATTTTTATCCAATTCTGCCTCTTTTGCCCATAGCTCTTTAATGTCACCGGGAACATTTCACATCTACTGAGAAAATACACATTACTTTCAAGCTAAGTCTATAAATTCTACTTGTATTGCTTTTCTTCAACACAAA